CAAGGATGTGACCTGCAGCCTGCAGACACATGGCTGCCTCACAAGCGCTTATCACAACACAGCAGCCTGTAGGATAATGGGAGGCCTTAATCTGAAGCCACGTGGAGCCAAGCAAACTTTGACTAGTGTTGCTCTTTCACATTGGCCTTATAGAAAACAGTTGATGATATACTACACCGTTCTGCAGAAGGCCAGCAGGCCTTACCATGCCAGGCTGATTACAGGGTAGAGGTCAAACCACATGGACAACAAATGGTCCCTGGTCCTCTACACTGGGGGTTGGGTATAAGGCTGAAAACACCACTCTGGAAAAGGCAGCAATTGTTACAGAAACTCTTAAAAGCACATATGATATTCCAGACCACCAGGAGACACAAACTCACACACATGCACACATGTATACTGCAATGCATTCTGTCACAATGGCAAAATACAAACAATAAAACATGAAGGAAAATCTCTGGAAAGAATTTTAAAAATTGCTCTGCTGATTGATCTCATGTTTCAAAACTCCAAAGCAGCTAAAATGCACCCAAAGAGAAGGAGAGAGTATTAAATGAGTCTTAAGGCTGAAACATTGATAACAAGCAACTTAAACATTCAACTCAGCAGAACTACCAACCATTTGTGCTGAATAATTATACATTAACTGGCACTTAATCAGCTGACGGTTTGTGTTTCTCTTCCACTGGTCAAACAAAAAGACATGAGCAAAATCCCCACACAGGTCCAATCATTCAACACTATTGGCAAACTGCATGGCTGGAATGAAGCCACAACGTGCTGCGTTCTTTAAAATGCATGAGGGGTTCACTTTGAGTTTAGGTTCAGCCCTGAACACACTGGTTATTTTTTCCCACCCAAGGCAATTTGCACACCACGCTCCGCATCTCGGCTCAGAGTTACAAGGGTGTCACATTTGTCTTGCTACACAAATATTGATATGGGTTGGCTTGGTTGAGTAATGACCAGATGTTTTATGTAGTATCAATAATAAGGGTTTACATGTTGTTGTTTTTTGTTTTTTTATGGCAAGCGGCAGTGATTCTTCCTTACATGATATATAATGCACTAAATTGAGCTACTGCTTTTTTATGTATGGAATGTTTAGGTGACTCCAATGAAATCACACCTCAGGGCTACGTGTCAGGTTTGTCTGACACTCCTTGTGTAATTGATACTATACATACATCAACTCAAACCGCCTGTGTTCAAACTCGTTGATAGGAGAACTACAGGTTCACTGTTTAAAAACTTAGTAACAATCCACAACAATGCAGATGCAAAGAAAGAGCTTTTTTTGCATTTACTCTGAGAAAATATCAAGTAAATTAATTGCTACCCTCACTCACCCAACACCAACACTATGAGGCAAATGAATGACTGGCAGTGCAGGAGTCTGTGTGAGCTGCTGAGCTGGGTTGTGGTGGCCTGTATTCACCATGTGGTGGAGCTGAGTGATGGTTTCCCAAAGTCTGCCTTCACCAGAACACACATCAGGCAGGCACAGCCATGTGCTACATTGTACCTCACTGACAGGGTAAGAGTGATGCTCCTGTGCCAAGCTGCTTTTTGACTTTATTATCTGTCATCGTTAGCCTTCACTTTCTGTCGTGCAAGTCAGCGTGAGCGCCGATATTTCCACTGATTGCATTTTCCTCAGGGACCTCACACTGATAAAGCACGTTCTGTGTTAGCATGCTTGCATGCTAGATACTGTCAGTGGTTACAACACAGGTATGCACAGCCATGCCCTAGCACCTGACTGTAGACATCAAATACAGTAGGAAGGTGCCTCGGACGAAGCTAGCAAGCACTAACTGCATTCTAAAATGGGTGTGAAAGTCTCCTCTGCAACACAGCAGGCTCTTGTCTTCCTCCTCTTCATACTTTTCTCTCTCTCTCTCTCTCTTCCTCACAAATGTGTTTCTCTTTCCTCTTGCTGTATACCCTTCTCGGTCTCTCTCCTAATGTCTTTGTCTGCTTTCTGTCATGAATTTCCTGAATTTGTATTTTTTTCCCCCCCTTTATCCACGCTCTCTTCTTCTTTTGCTCTCTCTGTCCATCTACATCTGCACCCCTCCCCTCGCTCTCCCTCCCTAGAAGGCACACATACACAGATAATACTGCGGCTACATGCTGCTTCGGCAACATACTGCAGCAGGCAAGCATACTCCACTGCAGCCCTTTAACACAATAGCCATTTCTCTTATGACCTTAGGACGAAAAGCAGCTCTTGGTCTAAATGAATTACACTTCCTCTGCATCAAAATCAAGCAAATAGCACATTTGGTTCAAACACAGGTTTTTAAATCCAACCTGTTTCATAGGCAGAGGAAGCCCATTATTGTCACAAACATTCACTGCACATGGCATATGTCTTTTTTTCCCCAGCATCTGCCCATTTCAGTCTTTCATCAGCATATGATAATCACAGCAACATGCGCTGTTTGCTGCCATTTCCTTTTATTGACGTATGTAGTTTCGGTGAAGCCCTCCCCATGCCTATGGACATACCACCCCTGATTCGCCCTGTCTTGCCTTCTCCCCTGAAGCATGACGGAACTAGGCGTGCTGCTGTAACACAATGGGACTTTTTTATTGAACAGTGAACAAACACATTCGCACATACACAAACAAAAAACACACAGAGACAGACATCTAGTGATCATGGCACATGATACGACATACAATGATGCCATTGTTTGAATATACCAGGAGTGATTTAAATAAATGTCAGCGCTGACAGACGGCCACACAAAGAACATATAGAGATGCGTTTACACAGACACATACACAAAAAAATTTGCAAATGTGAATGCACATACTGTGGGGTCCAAAAGTCTGGGATTCATGGGAAAGTATGCACATATGCACATACGTGTATATTTTTGCAATGGGCACAAATAAACACATGTGCTTTGACATCCGCTTTAACTATTAGCACCCAAAGGTATCCCATACATTTGCACCAGATGTAGGGATATCATGTTTTAGGCTACTTTTTCTAAAACAGTGTGTGCCATAAGTGAAAACACTGTCTAGTGCACCGTATCATTGCTCAGTCAGGTTTTATCCATTGTGGCTACTGTACGTCTCAGACCACTTGTTCATTGCTTTGTAATATTAGATTTTCTTTGATATTGTTGTATTACCAGCACTTTTGCCTGCTAAGATCATCATATAGAGTTTCATGGGCCACTAGTCACATGTTTTCAAGCCTTCATTAAACAGTCAGGCAAACAGGTGCTACCACCAGGGATTCCCCCGACCTTTGCAGGGTGTGGAGCACAATCTAACCTATTTTATTTAATTGCCATTAAACATGATTGTTAATTAGTGATTACTCTTCATCAAATGATTTTTTCATGAATGTGAACACAGTATGTCTTGGAATCTTGTGTCACTGACCCTCTAAATGTTGCAAATATATCTTTGCACTGGAATAAAGCCAAGTGTCACAACAAGCATGCATTACAAGTCACACGATCTGGCTATAAAACTCCACTGAAGCTTTTTACATATCAGGAAAAAAAAAGTCCATGTGCAGCCCCATTTAAATCCAAGATGGATGACTTCTTTTCTGAACAATTGTTTGCTGGAAATCAAACTTACACGTTGGAACCACTGGGATTCGCTGTGTTTTCAAACACAATGGGCCCTTTCATTATCTGAAAAGAGCTGCTACACTAATAATGCAGCCCAGCTTAGGTCTGTTAACTGTAAACAATAGCACTAAAAGGTGGCCTTGACAAATGTAAAGAGAGAAGGGGGAGTGATTATTGTGCCTGAATGTGAATACAAGGACACTGAGTGATGGCTAAACTCCAGTCCCTCCCTTTTCCTCACCAGCTATGCCTCTCATGCCAGTGTGGGATGTCTACAGAAATCATCCTGCTGTCGAGGTCGGCAATGAGAATGAGAGTATCTTCTCTGAAGTGAGGCATGAGGAACCTTCCTTGGTGCCACATTATTTTTAACTCACTGATTCTCCACAAACAGTGAATATATGAATCTATGTGGTTCACCTGCAATAGCATGAATACAAATATGTCATCACGCATGTTAAGTTTCATTAAAAACCACTCTCTGCACCGACTCTGTTAAACATCACAGCCCCTTGCCTGCACAGTATCAAAGTCATTTGACATTATTCAGCAGTCTTCAGATACAACAGCCAGGTGAACTCAATATGCCAGTAGGAAGTGGCAGTTCCTCAAGCACATCAAGCGCTTTCTGACCCATGCGTGCCAGACAACCTGCCGTACAGTTCTTTGACAGTCCAGCACCAGATAACATCAAGTCCTTGCTTGAAAAGAGGCAGAAGTAAAGCTACGTGAATTGTATCAGTTGTGTGAGGTCCTTATAGATATATTTTTTCATACTGGCTTCATCCACTCAGACAACAAGCTACCCACAGCAGCCACACACTCACGACCCGCACTGCTTGGAACAAACACAAACTCACCACCCCACCAAATGGAAACAGCTGTTATCAAAACTCTTTCATCTGCTACAGTACTTTGCAAAACTCAGCAATGCACACGCACCACTACTGAACAAGCCTGTTAGATTCTATCACACACTCTGAAGATTTACACACGTTTTACAATATATTCATATTCTGTCGAGCTATGTTTTAGATTTTATACTCTATGGTCTGCTGCTTTTGTTGTGTGCTAGTGACGGGCAAAGCCACTGTGCAGTGTAGTTTTGTGGGATTTTAAACCGCCAGCAGATTGCAGTGAATGAAAAACTGAGAGCTCACACCATACATTGCATTTAAATTCCATCCACGTCCAAGTACAATGTATTATTCCACTGATTAATGGGCCACAGCCATGTGTGGACAGTTGTTCTTCATGCATGTTACCATTGTTACATGCCTGTTTGCGATGGCTCCTCTGGATCTCTCAATTGGCAAGAGAACAATCATAACAGCAACAACAACGCCAGTACATCTGTGCCACTTCACTTGTTGCTTAGGAGTCAGTACTCACTGCTTTGGACGTTAACAGTGCCAGTGGAGTTGTCCTTTCCCAGCGGGTTCTCCACCACACATGTGTAATTCCCAGAATCCTCCAGTTTTGCTCTGCTGATCTGGACTTTGGAGTTTTTCCTGTGGGAGACAACACTCACACAGCTGAGTCAGGGGAATCGGGACAGGGAGGAAATAGCATGTAAAACGCAACAAGTGGAAACATGGGAGAAAGAGAGGCAGACGACAGGGCAAGCAGCAGCATGGCAACTTACTCTCAGGCCAAATTTGATGGGAGAAAAATGCGAACAAAAAGAAAGAACAGGACCAAGTGTTACAGCTACCTAGCATATCATTAAAGAGGTTCAACTGGCAGCCTCTGTTGTCATAAGGGATAATTACAGGATGAAAAGTTTGAAAAGTTTTCTCTCTCCCTTTTTTGCCTTAAGTATGTGATGATTAGCCATACTGACTAAGAGAGAGTGGAACAGGACCATGGATGTATTATGTGAGCTGGACACCGCTCAGCCTTGCTGCTAATTTACCCCAGTGGCTGACTGTGGCACTGCAATAAAAAATACCTTGCAGCCCAAAAAGCATTTTTCCCAATATACCACTATCATTAAAGAGAAAACTTTTGATTGGACGCCTCAAACTGCAAACAAGGTCCATTATAATGCTTAGTGTTATTAATTGTTTAAGTATAAAAGAAAAGCACATTTTTGTTGTCATATGAGGTCATCCCAGAGAGCAACTGACAGAGAAAACTATTTGAATGAATGGGCACCCTCTTGTATCCACTTCTGATAATACATCCATAGAACAGGGACAAAACAGGAAGTAACAATTGTGTGAGATACTGTGCATTTTCACCTGGTTTTATTCTTGTGATTTAATCCTAAAATGATTGTAATGTCAGTTGTATACACTATAATGTCTAAGCTAAAGTTAGCAAACATTGGCCACTGTTTGTACTTCATGAGCCAAACCTTTATTAGTCATAACTGGTGAGTTGAGGGTGGATGTGCTTTATTGCCTCTAACTTGTTATGTGTGTGAGAACATAACACAGGCATAAGGAGGGATGATAAATTGACTTGATTCAAAATAAGCCATTGCTCGACATTTCAATGAAGGAATAAGCTTTTATAAAGCCAAGTGTTAAATAAATGTTTTCATTCAATTTCTGTACTGATGTTGATTTTTCAATGACTTTCAAACTGCACTTGGTAATAACAACAATGCTTTGTCTCTTGAGTGTCTACTTTTCATGTTACACTGCTTGTGTTACGTTTACAGGACATGGGTCGTTTGTACTTACTGGCTGTTCCTTATTTTGACTTTTTTGTTTTTCTTCAGCTCGTTGCCATCTTTGAACCATCTGTAGGTGGGGAGAGGGTTCCCTGTGGCCTCACACTTTACTATGAGCTTTTTCCCCTCGTCCACTATTATTGGATTCTTCATCGGTTTTAACTTTGGAGCCGCAGCTAAAAAAGAGAGAAGGAGAAAAACCCAATGTTATTAACCAATACAGGTACAAACATGATTATAGTTTGGTTAACACTGTTCATTTATTCATGTATGTTTTAGGAAAAACAGTGAAACAAAGAAGAACGGAGAGAGAGCAATAGAGCCAATCTTCATCTCTATGGACTGAGCCAACAACTCTCTCATGTGACCACCAGATGTTGTTACAAGAGACATTATCAACTTTGCCTCAGACTAATAAACAGGCTGAATTTCACTGTGGCTTTGTTGCTATAAAAACACCTGAAGCAATATTCAGCATCCACCAGCTGATGAACAAAACCCGCAACAACAAACTCATGTGCAATTAATGGCAATCAGTTAATATTTTAAACTGTAGCCTTTATTACATGTGATGTTTGAGGAAAAATAATCATCTTGGTATATTCTGTCATTTCTTTTATTACACACACACACACACAAAATTTAAATATGAAAAATGAGCTTCGTCCAAACACACACATACATGTACATAGAACACACACTCACACAAATACTTGCCAGCTGACAGCTGCACACATGTTTAGGAGAAGACTCATCCAGGGCGGAGCAAGACAGAAGGGGTGAACAAGGGTCAACCAGGGGCTGGCCAAGATGCCCCTCTCCCTCTCTCTCCCTGTCTCTCTTACACACAAACACACACTCTCTCTCTCCATGTGTAACATTTATAATTTCATGCATATGCTGAACTGTGCAGTCCTGCAAATTACAGCTGTTTGACATGCCTCTAAAGGATGAAAGCAGAATGAAGACAAACAAAGCATGACAAGCAAAATGAAGTGTACTGTACATAGGTAACGACTTCAATTAAACATTGAGATAGAGGTGCACCAAAATTATCCCCCGTCGTCCTCATTTTTTGAGACTGTCCTACTTCACTGACCTAGTAAAGGCGACATGTCTGCACAGAAAGAAAAACCTTAATGATGCTGCATTTTTCATTTTCTTTGTGGATTTAAGTGGATTGATGGATTTGGGATACAGTTAGGTTTACATCAAAAAAAAACACTTGAAGTTTTGCTAGTGACAATGTGAGGTGTTCCTACAATTTGAACGAATTTTGAAAACACCACCCTTTTTTTTTTACTGCAGAGGTCACTGTTGTTTATTACTGATCCTAACTTGGCTCACTATCAGCTACATACACGAGAATTCACACATGAACAGCAGCCCTTTCTGAAACTCTGTAAACCCCGCAGATGTGGACATTGAAGAGCCCTACAGCAAAAAAGTACTCTGTGAGTATGTTCTGTGTCTGGCAGTGTGTCCTCTAGTCTACATGCTGACACTGAAGCTCTGCTCTGCCACCTCTGGTCACTAGGCACGAATACTCCTAATAGGTGCCAGAGGTCAAAGCTCTCAGTTCCAGCCATGGATCTCTCTGAAAAGTACACAGCGTACATGAAGTCTACCATCATCCATCCTTGTATGCCCATTTTTTTTGTCTCACTTAAATGTCTGATGCCCAGAAGATGTGGATGTTGTCCAAATTATTTTAGAAATATATACTATTAATGTAATTAGCTTGATTTGTATAGTAATCTTACAGTGATTGTTCGCAGCACTTTAGACCTTGGATGTTCACTAGTATTTTTTTCCCACTTAAGTAATGACATTGATTGTTTAAATCTATGACTTGAGCAGCATCAATTTGCCTTATTTAAAGGGCACCAATGACAAGTTTTGAAATACAAAGGCAATTCACATCATAAGCAGGAATTATTTCAGGATACTGAATACCACATATACTAAGATAGTCTGTCTGACTGACATACACTTTGTTCTGATTTCCACTGGAATCACAGATAACAAAATGTCAAATTTAAAATAGCCCACAAACAACATAGATCAATGGAAAAACAAGTATTTTTAGTTCAATAGCAGCTATTTGTTACTAAAATTACTCTGTGGCTTGTAAGACAGTGGACTTTTATCTGTGAACAGCTTCCTGTTGGAAAATGTGAGTGATGATATTCATGGCATTTGGAAAATAAAGATTCTAATACAAGGAGGATGTGCTGTTGTACTGTGGTGCTTAGTCTCCATAATGAGCTTATTCTCAAGATGGATCTTTGTGCTGCAATTGTTATAGCAGTTAGTTGAAGATTTTACTGTCCCAAAAGGGTTTGGGACAATAAAGACAAGGCATAAATGAGGTTTTGTTATAACATTGTATAGACCGAACATGTACTATATATGGCCATTTCAAATCAACTCTGCGAGTGGTGTGGCTTAATCAATAGCCTCCGGCAAGACCATATACTGAACATGAGACCCCTGATGTTCCAGATGTTCTTCATTAAAAATGTTCTGTTGTTTAACAAATGTAATGTACCATATGGGATTTGATGTTAAATAAAGATCAGACTGCACAATGCCCTATGGTCTAGTGATCCCCCTAATTTTCACATTACACTGGTTAATGGAAAATTTCCAGCACTGTTTCAGTTGCACTGTACGTACTGACTCAGTTTTGTAACTACATGGCACATTGAAGAATATTATAACATATGCACATGTGCCATGTTTGATAAGCAGCTTCATCATACATTTTCATTAACTGTACGAATGTAATTTGGCAAGAAAAGTTTTTTGGACTGTAATTAGAAAAACAGATTTTTCAGTGCTTACAGAACAGAACAGTCAGCATGAGTCCGTGGTCCCAAGTCTGTACAAGTGAACTACTGTACATGATTTCCATACACACTCAGCTTTGCCAGACTCAGCCCAGCACACTGCCTGAGGAAATCCTTGTCAGTCATAGTCAAGAGAACAGCAGGAATGAAGCTGCACCATAAAGAAGAATGTTTAGTACTTCGCCTGGACACAGGTTCGTCCTTGCCAAGCAAATTAAACAAACTTTGTCCTTGCCTGGAAAAGTTACAGAAACACAGTACTGCACTTCTCATCAGCCCAGTAAGCCAGATGTGTAAGAGGGTCTGCTCCATCTACAGGATACAGTCCTAATGAAGACACAGGAGTCCATCACACACTGTAGCTTCAGGATACAGATGTTTAACATCATTCTGCACAGGGATTAGTCGTCACATTCATGTTAAACAATGTCTGTAATCTTTCCAGCTCTTTTATCTGTGTCACACAAAATGAATTAACAACAAATGCCTCGAGAATCTATAAACTTGTAGAAATCACAAAATAACATACTCTGACAGCTTAGGCAGTGATATACAACAGTTGCTCATGTTTGAAATGACAAATGAGCCTCATCCAATGACAGCTTCATGGACACAACTTAAGTGCAGTACAATCAAGTCAACTGTACTTGACATAAAGCATGTTAATCTAACTTACTCACAGTTCATGTTTTCCAACAAGAAAATAAAGAGTCATTATCACTGGAAATAAAATAATTTCTTAGAGACAAATGGTTATCTCATTTTCCATTACACCAGTGGAAAAAGTGTCAGGCAGCAATGATAAACCCCTGCCTCAACAACAGCCTGATTCTCTCTTTTTGAAGCGGAGGGGCAGCTGCAGACATGGACTATAAAAACCAAATTTGAGAATAGAAGCCTATCCGGTGTGTCAACAGCTCATGCCTTGAGTAACAGTTGGAAACCTCAGCCCAGAGAGAGGTTCAAAAACAAAGTAATTTGATGAATTAACAATGCACTGCTCATATTATTGAGTTAACATTTCTGTTTTACTTCCAGGAGCTTAGAAAAGGAATCTGAGGCATGCCTTTGTGTTTCCCTTCTAGACAAAGTATCCCTGATTACTCTGGTGTTATGTCACTTCACTGCACGTTGTCAAAAGACAAATTACATGGTGAGACAGCTAGAGAAAAGGGTTTTGCATGTGGGAATGGTCTTCAGACACTGCATACTAGTCACTGTAACACAACATCTGTTCGAAAAGATCATTTCAACAGCCTCCCACCAGAGCCAATACACTTTCACCAAATAATTATCTGGTACATTGTTTATATATGACTCAAAATGCTCTACTTCTCGCTCACTAAACTCAATAGACATGCTGTTAATAATGCTACTTTTCAAATGGATTAGTTTATTTTATGTTTCTCTGTGATAGTAAAATGAATAAAGAACTGCATGTCAAACTTTAATCATTTACTACCAACCATCCAGACAACCAAGGAGTTTTGTTCTATAAGACTGTTCTTGAATTGAGACTTTGCTTCATTATGATTTTAGTTAATGAGTTAATGATTTTATAACTTTTCATGTATAATAATTTTACTTGCAGTCCATCACTGACATGCGATGCAAATCTGATGATCATAGTTTCTGCACACGTCAATTCTTCATAGCTGGCACAAAGGCAGAGTAAATATAAACACAATGCACAGACTGGTTTTCTCTGTATGTCAATTGAAAAATGCTGGCTAACTCCATTTGTTTTTTCTTTTTGTTTCTTTTTTCCTTTTGTTTTAATTTTGTTTGGTTGCATAGTGAAAAGCACAAAATCACCACAGCGCCTCTTTGCAGCTGTTTCATTAGTTTTGCAAAAAGGATGGATAGAAACTGATGTCATTTGCAATAAAAGTTCAAAAGACACTGAAGTGATGGTGGAATTTAAACAATTACTGTCTGACATGGTTGTCTACGCCCATGTGGCAAAAATCCATCATAAATGCTACTACTCTGGGCGAATTAGGAAGTGTCCAAATGATTCATATTTGCAACAAGCAGCAGAGCTGGCCTCCATTTATGGTTTGATGCCCTCAACATATTGGAGCCAATATGTTGACCAGTATGGTTTTGCACGAAACATTGTGTAGATGTCTGCAGTACTGCATAAGAGCCTCTATGCTCTGCAATACAACATGCTGCCAATTAATAGAGAGTTGATTTTGTGGTAGTTTCTCACTTTTAGATTTTTGGCTGTATGGTTTCAGTTTAAACCACAGTGTCAGTCAGACCTATGACCACCATGCAGTGATAAAACTACAAACATGGAGAGCCAAAACTGAGTCCAG